AGTAACTGAAAATACAGAACCTTCCCTGGGAGGTCCCCTCACCACGTACAGGAATCCACGTCGAGGGGTTTTTAGTTCTGTTTAACATCATTTTGTAATTGTTAAATGAAAGGGTGGAGGTTGGGTGTCTTATAAATTGTAAAAATATAGGGTGATATTTTTTCTATTACAACAGTATTTTGGCTTATTTGCAGTTGGGGTGATTTGCAATTCTGTACTTCTTATAATATCATAGAAAAAGGTGGAGGTCAGGAGTTTTACACTGAAGAAATTTAGGGTGGTTTATTTCTACTTTTATGCTATATTTAAATATTAAATTGAACTATCTTCCCACAACTGGCTGCAGGCAGTAGGAGTTGAAACGTTGTGGGTTCAAGCACTCAACTCCTCACCCTTAACTGGTTCTACATAGTTGCTGGCTAGTTTGGATCTTGTCTGATAGATGGAATATCCCCAAAGCGTCCACAAACATTTTCCGTTATGAGTTAATGATGACAACAAGGACTAGTAATGAAAAAATATTTTTTATTTTCGTTTTGAATGTTTTTGATTTGCATTAATATCATTATTGTTTTATATTGCTGATTTGATCATTTGTATACATTTAATGTATTTGATAGTATACGATTTGTTGATTTATTATATATATATCGAACAGACAGATATATCTAAGGTACAAACCACAGGTAATAAAGATATATTTATCAATAGGAGCCACACAGTGGTAGAAATACTATGTATTAAATTTAACTTATTTCCTGAAACCCTACATAAGAAATGAAACTAGAACTTAAACACAATGAGCAGATATGGGTGCTCACGTGCAAAACACCTCACAACTATGAAGCTATTACTCACTGTCTATAACCGGTTGTGGGTAGGTAGCTGTTCCAAATGAATTAAGAGAGCAATAGCTTGTTGGTTGGTTAGTGGGGGTTTGATGGCGCAAAGCAACTAGGCTATCTGCACCAAAGAAAGTAATATAATAAAAGAATAAAAATAAATAAGTAGTTGGTAGGTTGAGATAAGTAAATCTTTTCTCCAGAAATTAGCATCCCATAATAATTATATACTTCTAAGTAGCATAATGGAACCTTAGATGGTTAAGTCAGTAAATACTACTTTCAAAATACTGTAGTTTATTATCAAAACACCAGTGTTGTAGTACATCACTAACCTCTTCACAGCACAATATACTTTGTTTCCAAGTTTGACCAATTTCGGAGAATATTATTCCATATCTGTGACGAGGTTATGGTTGATATGCAATATGATGAATCAAGCAGATGGAGATTTTGATAGAATTTTGTAGCTGTGGATGCCAGTTAGTGAGAAACAAGATGACATTTGTATATTCTTTGAACTACTAGCACGAAAAAACTTATTAAACTGTGAAAAAAAATCTGCTAATTATTATATTTTAGTTTTTATAAAGCATTTCCAACACCAAATAAATCTTTGGAGAGCTTTCTTATAATTCTCGTGAACATTGTGCTAAATCTTGGAGGATGACCCATAATGGAAATGAATAACATAGATAATATCTAATGATAAATGTGCTTAATAAATGGTTTTGCAGAGGTTTATAAGCGGAAAACGACAATAACGTGTTCTGAACATTCGTAGTTTCCGTGTTAACTTAATAAATTATATGAAATCGTGCAGCATTCATCTTTTGGGGATGATCATAAGTATTTCTGAGAAACGACGATGTAACAATTAATAAGCTAGGTGATTGCATATCTGTTACAGATTTACCCTTAACGACGGCAGCTTGGGAGGTATCCTGAAGACGATGGCCACTTACTTTGTTTCAACAGAAGCAATCCATGAGGTACCAGAAAACATTTCCTTTCTGAACTGTGTTTAATAAATTTGAAGTCGATTAATATCAATGAGATACGTGTGCTAGGTTCACACATTATTTTTAATACCTGATGTAAGGAAACATTAATATAACCTTTCTTTAATCTCACATTTTGTATCCTTTTGTTATTGTTTCTCCTATTCTTATGCTTAAATAATAATAATTAGTTAAATTCTAAAAATGTAATCATTATATTTATATTTAGGTGCTAGTAAGTATAGTTTAATCCATGCATTGCAGGTGGAAGAATTTTTCAAGAAATATCCCGAGGCAGGAGCGAGTGAAAGGGCACGACAACAGGCTCTTGAAACTGCCAATAATAACCTGAAGTGGATGCAGAAGTACAAATCAGTAGTTCAGAAGTGGCTTTTGAAACCATGGCATAATTATCGGCTTCCGCACCATATTAAACCCATTTACTACGACCTTTTGCTTCATCCCAACTTCACATCTGATACTTTCACAGGAGAGGTTACTATCCTAGTACATGTTTCTAAGCCCACCAACTACTTCCTGACTCACGTGTATAAATTGAATGTTTCTGAATCTTCGGTGCGCAGGGAAGCACACAATACAGAAAAGCTTGAACTATTGAAAAGTTTCAAGTATAAACCAAACCAGTTTTGGGTGGTCCTAACCAAAGATACTCTTCCCACAGGCAACTATTATCTGCATTTCAAGTTTAGTGGATCACTTTTAGGAGGTTTAATTGGTTTCTACAAAAGCGTCTATGTCAATGGTGAAACAGGAAAAAGAAGGTATTTTTAATTATTTATTACATAAGAATGACCTACCTACCACATTGTTGCAAGTTAGTTTATTTCGTAGTCTTAAGACCGCAATTTGCATAAGTTTTTGTTTTGATAAAACCTTGTTGACTTTCAGTAAACAGCTGTAATGTTATCAGGGAACACTAACTTAAATAGTATTAAAGAAACGTTAAATCTAAGGAGAGTTCTTAATTTACACGTAAATGTCAAACAAGACACATACGGCGAAGCTCCATCGTCAATAGTTATTTACGAAATTCTTTTCACCAGCTTGCACTGGCGTTATCTAGGCTAACTAGATTGATTTTCACTTATATATTAAAAAGGAATACAGTTTTGATACTTAACTAACACGGACATTAGGACTTCTCTCTCTCCTCCTCCACAAGATTAACACATTTCATTTATTTCAACGTGCAAAACAGAGTGGTCATATGATATTTCACGTAATTGGTTAAACCCTATAAATGTAGATAAGTAGTCATATTCTGATAAGTATACAAGACAATTAGTCATAGAGAAAGGACATTTCTGAATTTCAGATGATAAGTGACCGTTTAGCAGGAACATCGTTATCAAAACTGTTTCTTTGATTGGTTGTTTAAAGTCATTTTTCTGTAGAGTATATCAACAGTGATAATGGACAGTGAATGTATCTCACACCAGGAAGAAAAAGTTTGGTCGCCAAACTGAGGGAAAAGAAGATTAGACTCCTTTTAAAATTAACAGACATCCAACTGTGTCTAATGTGAATGATGTTTTCAACATTAGTCAGGATTCACCAGTTTCTAACTGTACAAGCGAGATGAATTTCCGAAAACAGTTTATCTAAAGAAAGCACTACTTTTATGGTGTTTAGAACGTAAACTGTGAGTAATAATGATATCATCTAATGTTTCTTGTTTCGTCCTTTTCTTCTTAAGTAAAAATATGGCAAAAACTAGGCCAGGCACTCGACTCTGCTAGTTTCTACCAAGACAATAATGTAATGTTCCATCATACTCAACTTGTTCAAAATTCGTTCAATGACCATTGAAAGTAACGTACGTCATCTTACTTGTTCAGTACAGTCATCGAAATTTTGGGGTGAACGTGAATTCCGCATTTATCATTGTAATTTTCTACCAACGTGTATCAGCCAGTGTCAGATCATACTCCTGAGAATGGACTACAAGAAAACAATACTTCTTGCGGTGTGTTGTACAGTCTATGTCACGACAAATGCATGCTAATATTACGGGGAAAGGTGGTCGAATTCAATATCAGGTGATGATGGCACTAATAAACTGGCTGTCAGTGCATTCTGTGGTATTCAGCATCAAAATCGAAAAGTATCTGCAAAACGCAGGCTCACAATTATTAAGAGAAGAATGAGTCGAACACAGACAGTAAAGGAAAACAAGAACACACATGTGTATCTTGAAACAAAAATCAAGACAGTAAAGGAAAACAGGAACACACATGTGTAATCTTGAAACAAAAATCAAGACAGTAAAGGAAAACAGGAACACACATGTGTAACTTGAAACAAAAATCAAGACAGTAAAGGAAAACAGGAACACACATGTGTAACTTGAAACAAAAATCATTTATTAACCAGACAATCAGTGCTTTGTTACCTAAATAGCCCAGATTCTTCTTGTTGCCGAATTTGACAAAAGCAAGAGGAATTAAGTAGAAGGTACAGAACTATGGAAATATCCGACTTGTAAGTCAGATATACCATAAGTCCACAGGTGATACATATTTCCAGTGTTATACATGCAACCTTAAGCCAAACCAAATGTACAGGTTTCTGTATTACCTTTCGAGCAGATTACTTTCCAAGAAATCCATACAAAAACACATGCACGCTAGCTTGAGGTTCAAGGACAAAGATTGCAGCATGTTGCCTTTATTACTATAAAAGGATTAGCACATTTTTACGACCTTGAGACATCTGGTCATCAGGGATGTGATTAACTACATCCAGAGACCGCATGGAAATTTTTATAAAAATACTATTTGGATATACACGAAATATTTTAGACAAAAAATCGAGTAATCTGTAATATTTTCTTAGGGTTTCTCACCTAACAGCTATATATTTAGCGAACTTCACGTGGCTCACACTACAGAAATTAAGAAACAACTGTTAGATAAATCGAGAGATTATTGAAAAATGTCAGACAAACGTGTTGCTACACACATATCCAAATATCACTCGATAGCTTGGAAAGTAAGGTTCGCAACGCCATTTCAGTTGGCAATTTTTTCAACCAAACTACGAAACAATAAAGTGGCTATCACATAATGTACTGTAAATACATCACATCATAAAACACCACTTGATTGTTTGGAAAGCAAGGAATGCCACTTATTTTCAGTCATAGATTTTTCAAATGATGTTCTAGCCGCCGGTGTTTTACGTCTTCTTTACTGTTTCCTTGAACATTGGCGGATTTACCTGCTTTACTTTACCACTGAGTGGATCCATGGCTCCAACTACCAGCCTCTCTGCCAAAATATGACCGAGATTTTCTCTGGAGTTCATCTGTTTTTCGTAAGTCCATAAACACACGCTTCCTCAAGTCAAGTCTTCATTAGGATGATTTGATGCACGTTATGACGCAACATGTGATTCCACACTTCTTCATTACATTTCATATTCTTCTCAGACTCCGGGCGTTGTCTTAAATGTTCCAGATGTGTGTATTCTCGATAATGCTAAGCTCGTAATAGAATGACTCGGTGCGTTCCTAAGCGCTCCATCGTGATGACATGACCTATGATTTTTACATTACGTTTTCATATTCCATGGTATCCTAGACTTCCATATGCGGTTTCAGAGTCTCATCAGTTTGTTTTGCCGGTCATGAAGGCTCCAAAAACACAATGTTTTGTTACATACCTGGCCACTTGTATCTCGTCTGGCTGCTGGAGTTTACAAGAAAGATCAAGATACAGAACTAAGAAAACATTTGACTTTGATACCCAAGGGAAACAAGTCAGATGTCCAACAAGTTCCTAGGCTGCATACCAAACTAATATTGTACATGCAATCTTAAGTCTATTCAATTGTACAGGTTTCTGTATTGCCTTTTAAATAGGCTAATTTCCAGGAATTCCATATAGAAACACATACACGCTAGCTTGAGGGTCATGGACAAAGGCTGCCGAATGCATCTTTTATCTGTGTGAAAGAATTAAAACATGTTTAGGACATCCAGTCAACATGGATATGATTAACGGCATGCAGAAACTGTATGAAAATGTAAACATTTGGCTCGAATATATCTGAATAAAGAAATGTATGCTAGTTGAGGAAAGACAAACTTCACGACTATTTTAGTTAAGGTAGTATTAAGGACAATTTGATGACAAAAAAATCAAATGAATGAAAAAGTTCTTTTGCTGGTAAGTGTGCGCGACGTATTATATCCACAAATGAAAAAGTTCTTTTGATGGTAAGTGTGCGCTACGTATCATATCTACATACTGAACTTAATAAAGTGATAAAACCGCATTTTACACTGGATAAAAGTGAAATCAGCTTGTAAGGTACAGAATAAGATATCCAACAAATTTCTAGTACGTTTTAAACAAATATTGTGGCTTTACTTTAAGTGTTTTATATCTCATAAACGATTTACTACTAAAAGGTGTGCGTTGGTTTTTCTGTACAGATTTCTGGCTACCTCACAGTTCCAGTCAACCTATGCCAGACGAGCTTTCCCGTCTTTTGATGAACCCAACATTAAGTCTCGTTTTAAAGTAACGTTGATTCACGAACCTGATTATATTGCCCTTTCTAACATGCCTCCTGAGGTACATTTTGAAACTCCTTCTAGTATTAGATAAAATTATAAAACTTGAATAGATAAGATACAATAACCAAATAAGATGCTTAGTTGTAAAAATTGTATGAACTATATATTTAATGATGTGTATTCACTTATTTTACGAACTGCTTATTATCAATAAAAACAAAATGTATTAGTATACGTTTTGTTTATATATAAATCTATAAACACTTTCATTGAAAAATATTGTAGTTGTCTACCCTACCAGTTGTTTCTAGAGCCGAGGTAGTCTTAATAATCTTGTAGTTATATTTCTTGTATTTATAGTAGACGTAGGTGAAAAGCCAAACACACTTAAGCACTTATTATGTATGAAGTAGTAGAAATATATCAATTCAGCACAATTCACGCAAAACCATCTCCTGCACTGAAAATCATATACAACTCGACCCTATGGCAGTCTTTGTTATTACATTAGAATGGGTCATGAGAGGCGATACATACGGAACTCCACCATGCGACAATCTGTATTGTTAAAATAGATGGACTATTAATGGCTGATGCATACAAAACAAGACTGTGTGGCAGTCTTTGTTATATATTTAGCTGGTACTACAGAAATATACTCTGTGGTGCTGGTGTATTGATGATTAATGGCGCCAAGCAACAAGGCTAACTGTGCTAAACATCTGGTTCTAATCATTATTCAGTATAATGAAAAATAAATGTAAAATATGTCAAAAAGTAGGAAAATAAAATAACATATCAAAACGTTTAATTTATTTTACTGCAAACAAGAAAATATGGTTAACAATTAAACAGAATTGAAAAGGGTAATGGTCCTTTAAAACCTGGTTTGGTTTTCTGGGTTTTTTGACACAAAGCAACTAAAGTATCAGCGTCAAACATGCCATTCTGACAGATGCTAAAAATAATCAAAAAAGAACGTAAAATATGGTAAGAAAGTAGGTAAAAATATAACAAACCAAAACATTTTTGTTTTATGCAAACGAAGTTAAAATATTGAATAGAATGAAAAAGGCCAATGGCTTGTAAAAAGCTAAAAACACGAACAATTAAAAGAGTATCGCCATTGCTAATGTCACTGACCAACATCAAATACAGATCCAGAGAAAAAGCATGCCTAAAATGATGCCACTGCTGGTAATCGTAGCAACTGCAAGAAAGTAAAATGTGGCCACATGTTGGCAAATCAGTCTCCTATAAAAGAAATCATTGAGTAAGATTGTGGCTAGTGTGTAGCTTTTTCAAGGCAACTTCCTCTCTTTAATTCCTACTTAAATTAGATGTCCATATAACAACAGTAGGCTTTGACTGAAAAGACTGACTTGGTTAGTTATTTGGAGTTTAGTGACACAAAGCAGTAAGGTTATGTGCGCCAAACAATCATCAAAAAAAGCAAAGAGAAGTAAAACTATAAAAATTAAAATTATTAGATGGTTGGTTGTTGGTGCTTAAAGGTGCAGAGCAATTAGGCTGTCTGTTCCAAACAACCAGTATAAAAACAAAAAGTAAAGAGAAAACAAGCTAAAAGCTAAACAATGCCCCCAAAATACAGGTAAAAAACTGAATAGATTTAAAAAGGTCAATGGCCCATAAAAAGCTGAAAGCACAATCATGCTAGAGAGTGTCACCATTGCCAATATCACTGTCCGATTTCATGGGTAAACTCTTAGAAAAGACATGCTGCATTGGTGGACCAATCCCACATACAAGAAAGTGATGAGTAAAAAAAACTGTGACCAATGCGTAGCCTAGACAAGGCAACTTCCTCCCTTTGATCTTTACAGAAACTAGATGGCCAAACAACAACAGTAGGCTTGATTTGGAAAAGCTTGTTATGAATTTACCCATCCCAAAATGACTGCCTAGTGACTAGTGCAAAGTCATGCTTGATCACAGGACCATAGTCCACATAGACAGGTATGGCTGTGACAATGCCAGAGCAGATGGATCTAGCTTTGGTATCAAAAGCTCATTCCCACGAATACCAACATGGGCATGTATAACATACTTGGGATGTGAAAATATAATTCATTATTGCAGAGAGAAAGGTTGTGATCCGAAAATATACGCTCTAAAGACCAACTCTTACATCAATATTAGTACCAACCCACCATGGGTTGTGCCAATTGAATCAGTGTAAATGGTACAGATAGTATACTGCTTAGCTTCTATGTGATTCAAGGCAATGTAAATGGCACACAACTTAGCAGTGAACACAGAAACTGTAAAGGGGATCCTATGAACAATCACCAAACCACAAAAAACCATAGCAGAGCACACAGAGTCACTTGAGTCCGAACCATCCATAAAAACTGGAACAGAGTAATGGTTCGAAAGATAATTGGCAAAGAGAGTATCTGTCTTCCTCAGATGACTCAAAGAAAGGTCACAGGTTGGGCTGGTAATAAGCCATGGAGGGATGGACCGATTATCAGATTCAGCAACATCATCCAATGACAGAACCAATTCAGTCAGTTGTGTCAGGATACGAAGGCCAAATGGGAGGAATGGCAGACCACTGATTCTAGAAGAGCAAAACCCACCAAGGGAGGAAGACACGTATTGAGACACAATCCAAGTTGGGATGCCGTGGTAAGGATCAAAGCTTGGTAACATATTGCAAAGGAATTTGCAAATGTGTGAGGTGAAGAGGAGGTTCATTGGACTCAGTGTACAGACTCTGGACTGGTGAAGTGCAGAAAGCCCCCGTGTAGAGCCGAAGCCTTAGATGGTGCACAGGATCCAACATCTTCAAGGCAGAGGCCCTGGCACTATCAGACCCATACTCCAGCTTTTATTGTATGAGGGTACGATCGATCTTGAGCATGGAACATCAATCCACTCCCTAAGTGGTGGAAGAGAGGATGTTCAGTGTCCTTGTACACCTGCTATGAAGCTGCTTAATATGTAGAAAAAATGTTAGCTTATGGTCGAAGACAAGTCCTAAGACCTTTTCTCAGTCACAAAAAGATGTACAATACAATATCTCTCAGATGGAGCTCTGGTAAAGCCCCACTGGCTGCAATTTAAATTGCATGCAAACAGTTTTAGAAGAAGAAAATGCGAAACTGTTGGATGTGATCCACTTAGAAAAGTGAGTGAGAGCAGTTTAAAGCTTACACTCCATGCATCTCATATCTAGCAATCAACAGGAAATCAGAAAGTCAGTAAAATAAAAGCTGTTTGCAACTGTAGAAAGAAATGTTCTGTGATAGCAGTGACCATAATTCTGAAAAGTGTGACACTCACGACAGAGCCTATGAGATTTAAAGTTCTTGTATGAAAAATCGAGATAACGTTCCTCCCACGTAGACTCTGTCAGACAAAAAGGTAAAAATAAAAATGGTTAAACTGCCATATAACACATAGATATGGAGGTACTGTTAAATGCCAGTCCTCCATGTAGTATCATCAGCATACTAATGATAGAGATTGAAACAAGATGCTTCCTTTTGAAGAAGGCTTTCCTAGTTAACATTTCAAGTCGAATCAGGTAGTTCATGGTGAAATCCGTATTAGGTGTACGAGAGGATACTATTTGATTCAAGGAACCAAACAGGCATTAACCATCCTCTCCAAAACTTTACAGCGGCACCTAGTAAAACAATAGGTCAATTATTAGAAAGCATCTTGGCATCCTTTCAGGGCTTAGAAAAAGGGATGGCAATATATTTATGTTTCTACCTTCCTCCTGCCAAATTCAGTTGAAACAACCAGAAGAAGAGTGAGAGAGGCAGGAACGTGCATGTCTTCTGGTCCTACTGATGTATTGCCAGTTCAATGTTGTGCACCTTTAAGTTCTATCGATTATAATGATAGAAGCTATCAACTTGAAAATAAGATGTGATCTTTTGTGTTGTGATTTGATGGCCAAGAAGGCAGGGGAAGAAGTGGATGTGTTGAAATGGTGAGAAAAAGACTTCCCTAAGGGTGCTGGCAAAACCCTTTAAATAAGCAACCTCTTGGCCATTGGAATGCAAGATCAAAAGTGGATGGAAGATAAACTTACCATTCACATTCTGAATTTTGTCCCAACCTTGGAACTGCAGAAGATATTCCAGGCCTTTTTTTTTAGCCTTTCTTAACTGTTGGCAGACAACCATAGAATGAACATAGCATGGCAGATGTGTCGAAGTTTAAGAGATCATACAAACAGCTGCCTGCCTTATTGTCATCCTACTTTAGATTTCGTTTCCATTGGTATAAAAAATGTTTGAATGTGAAAGTTTAATGTTTTGTACTTGAATATCGAAATATTTCATTTAATTTCATTTCTACGTCGTGTGCGTGTGTTTTGTTTGTTTGAAATTAAGCATAAAGCTACACCATGGGTTATCTGTGCTCTGCCCACCACGGGTATCGAAACCCGGTTTCTAGCGTTTTAAGTCCGCAGACATACCTCTGTGCCACTAGGTGGCCATACCGTGTGCAGTTTCGTATATGTTTGTATATGAGAGAGTGTAGCTTCAAACAAGTTTTATACTTATGTTAGAATGAAACTTATTTGAACAGTGAAACTTTTAGGTAATGTTTATTCTTATATGACAAATCATTTGATTTTTGTATTATATAAAGCCATATTTAAGTTGTATAAAATTTCCATTTTTGAAAAAAACAAATACAAACTTCTGAGACCACGATTTGTGTTCAGTTAGGAAATTTTGTTCCAGGGAATTTCAATTTAGAATGATAGACATTTTCTCACGTAGGCTCTCTTTCAATTGTAAGTAAAACTGGAAATACTTATGATAATGTTTTATGTTTAAAGATTTGAAAATGGCTTTATCGCACATTAGAAAATATTATGATAGGCCATCTTGTATGTACGTTTTGAAAATATATTGAGGTAAATTTCTAGAAGGTGTAAAATAAACGTTTAATATGAAATTTGATTGCAAACTACAACTAAGATTGAACATGAAACTGATTATTAGTAACTTGTATAATACAAATTCCTGTAAGGTACTTTAGTGTATTATGCTTTTGTTCATACTTTCTAAAGTCAAAGCGTAAGATTTCAAAATATATTTTGAGGAAAATAAAATGGAAGGCATAACGAGATTTCTCCAATTGTTGCAGTTACTTGGTTACGATGTTTCAAATGTAAACAGGCCTTAAAGAACTTCCAGCAGGTTTGAATCAATAATAGCATGTGGATGAATTTCACTGTGTGTTCTATCACGCCCTTTTCCCGAGTTTCTTTAAAATAAGATTTTTTTTGAGAAAGGTTACTTAACAACGAACAAATTAAATCTACCTTCTTTTCTCGGTGGTCTTTCATCTTCCAAACCAACTCATTTTACGGAATAGGAAAGGTAAATAAAAGACCAGTATATAATGAAGTAAAAAACTGTAATAAGATACTAATTATAAAGAAAGAAAGAAAGAAAAAAGGTGGCTCTAAAGATAAAAGTTAGCTGGATTTCTTGAAAGACTTGAAATGATATAGTCGTAAAAACATTCTGAACATTTTTTCAAAATAAAACACCCTATTTAGGTCGACTTTATTGAATATTCAATTTTTCAGACTGTATACAAAGAAAATGACTTAGCACAATGTGTGTATGTGTATAGAAAACGGGACTGTTTCCTTTTGTCGCTAAATTTAAAGACAAAACGTAACAGGTTCATTTTCTTGCTTTTAGTTACTTTTCATCACATTTTCGAAATTCTGAGAGTGCAATTTAAACTTATCTTCATTTTATATAAGTAAGTAGTTTGCCCGGCATGGCCAGGTGGTTAGGCGCTCGACTCGCAATCTGCGGGTCGCGGGTTCGAATCCCCGTCATACCAAACATGCTCGCCCTTTCAGCCGTGGGGGCGTTATAATGTGACGGTCAATCCCACTATTCGTTGGTAAAAGAGTAGCCCAAGAGTTGAGGGTGGGTGGTGATGACTAGCTTCCTTCCCTCTAGTCTTACACTGCAAAATTAGGGACGGCTAGCGCAGATAGCCCTCATGTAACTTTGCGCGAAATCCATAACAAGTAAGTAGTTTTATTTCGTAGTACCATGTTATGTGGAATCCTTTTTTATAAAGAAATATGCAAAAATCTTGCTTTGGTCTATCACACAATATATATAATATGTATACCTAGTATTCATATAAGGCTTAATAATCGTTAATCATACTTTCTATCTTCTCCATTACTTACAAAAAGATTTTTATCAACTTAGAAGTTTTGTTTACTTTAATCATCTTTTCTTAATAAATCATTATGTTGTCGTATAATTATTGCCTCTGAATGTTTTTGTTCTTTCTAGAACACAGAAATGATGCCCAACGGACTAAAAAAGACCCATTTTCAAACTACCATAGACATGCCAACGTACCTGTTATGCGTAACTGTTTGCGACTTCAAAAGTAAAAGGACCATTACACCTGGAGGCACAGAGGTATGAATGTCTTTTAGGTCACCATTTCTCGAGTCAAAGCACGAATGAAAACAGGAAATAAGTTATCAATATGAAATATTAGACTTGGAGAAAACTAATCTTGGACGATATTGAAAATTTTATGTTCGTTTCAGTTTCGAATATTAAAAGAAAAATTACTACTGATCTAGAACTCGGTGTATTTGAAACTATTGTTTACGAATTAGAAAATCACTGGTTATATTCAAGAATATAGGCACTATGCTCCAGTGAAAAGTGGCATTTTAGGAGGATAGGTGTGTACTTTCAATATTGCCTGATTTTGGTGACATATTTCTCAGCGTTGAAAATGTTTAAATCATTTCACAACACCGAACGAGTGACACAAAAGTTTCAGTAGGCTTATACTAGCTGATTTCACTTATTTGTTGTTGTCATACAGTACCCAGTTAGGTACAGAAAACATGTCCATACAGTACCTATATAGGTATAGAAAATATGTCCATACAGTACCTATATAGGTATAGAAAATATGTCCATACAGTACCTAGTCAGCTACAGAAAACAACATGTCCATACAGTACCCAGTCAACTACAGAAAACATGTCCATACAGTACCTAGTCAGCTACAGAAAACATGTCCATACAGTACCTAGTAAGGAACTGAAAACATGTCCATACAGTACCTAGTAAGGAACTAAAACAACATGTCCATACAGTATCTAGTTAGGAACTGAAAACAACATGTCCATACAGTACCTAGTAAGGAACTGAAAACAACATGTCCATACAGTACCTAGTAAGGAACTGAAAACAACATGTCCATACAGTATCCAGTCAGGTGCAGAAAACATGTCCATACAGTACCCAGTCAGCTACAGAAAACATGTCCATACAGTAAGTACCCAATCAGGTACAGAAAAACAATCAATATTCCCCATACAGTACTCAGTCAAGCACAGAAAAAACAACCAGTAATCTTCATGTTTAGCATCGAAATACCCATACAGTAGCCAGACAGCTACAGAAAAACAATGTTTAGCAACACAACACATCCATACACTACGAAGTGGGAGTCAAAATTCTCAATTATTTTGAGAAGTATTTTAATATATCTTATACACTACCCAAAATTGGTAAGTTTTAACGTCCTTTAGAACCATGAGTATGGTACTTGTTAGTAGAGAAAAACAACCAGAAATCCCCATGTTGAACAACACGCACACATTATATTCATGATGTCAGAAGAACACGTAAGCTCAAGAAGTCTTGATACAAGATGACAAAAACCCTATAACCCGAGCGCTTTCGAAACTTGAACCTTTCTTCTTCATGAAGAAGAAAGGTCCACCTTTCGAAAGCGTTCGGTTTTTGGGTTTTTATTATACTCACAGTATAGTTAGTAACATTAGCGAAAGTGGAAAATATAATTGCTCGATTTGTAGACCAACAATCGTTCAACTTAAATGTCGTAATTAGAATTATTTTGATTATCCTGATTTTTCTTCACCGTTTTTACAACAAAGCTAGTGGCTGGTTAGAGCATAAGTGTTAGTTGTTATTCATTAAATGTTTGTTTTATATTTCAGTTTGGTGTGTATGCTGCACCTGATAGATATCAGTACTTGGATTACGCCCTCGAAGTGGGAGTCAAAATTCTCAATTATTTTGAGAAGTATTTTAATATATCTTATCCACTACCCAAAATTGGTAAGTTTTAACGTCCTTTAGAACCATGAGTATGGAACTTGTTAGTATATATATATATATATATTATGTTTTTTTGTGTGTGTATACTCGTGAATGTTTGTTTGGTTAAAGATGTTGAAAAGGCCTGAAAACTAAATATTGAGGAAAGAGAAAGTGCCGGCCTTAGAACAGTTAATTAACGTTTAGCGGTAATATCCTAAAATATTTTTTAAAATATTGTTCATCTCAAGATTAAGAAATGCATTCGTAGAGATCAGCATTTATGATTTGTACATATCACACGTGGAATTGATTTTCAGTTATTATGAGAGGAAGGAAAGTTTTACATTCAACCAATCGCCTTATGTACTTTTAGTGATGAAAATATCAATATTACATTCATGTTGAACGAGATACTCAAAAATACCCTCTTTCAAAACACAACATTACGACATTGTGTTAAAAATATTAACATACGTACAGATATATATATATTCATATATGCACATTTGTAATTAAGATCATATTTCTAATGGGCAGAATTTGCAAACTAAGATGAAACAAAAACCGTTGTTTACATATTATCCTAATGATAAAAGGATAAAAAGAGTGGGATATCTTATTGGGTTTTAAGAACGCGATAAAGACGCGTGGCAGTGCTGTTGCTAAAGAGATGTCTGACATATACACCATACTGTTATTTGTGACTTAAGTATTAATCAAACAGCGTAGTAAATCGAAACTTCTTAGGTAGCCAGGAAGTTCGTATTTAAGTCATATTGCTTGTGTCATACTTCTAATCACCGAGTGTGTTATCTTTTATAACACGGCGTAGTAAATCGAAACTTCCTAGGTAGCCAGGAAGTTCGTATTTAAGTCATATTGCTTGTGTCGTACTTCTAATCACCCAGTGTGTTATCTTTTATAACACAGCGTAGTAAATCAAAACTTCCTAGGTAGCCAGGAAGTTCGTATTTAAGTCATATTGCTTGTGTCATACTTCTAATCACCGAGTGTGTTATCTTTTATAACACAGCGTAGTAAATCGAAACTTCCTAGGTAGACAGGAAGTTCGTATTTAAGTCATATTGCTTGTGTCGTACTTCTAATCACCCAGTGTTATCTTTTATAATTTGCTTTCAATGAACTCTTCATAGATCAGCGGTTTTGGATGAATAGTTATCCGAATCGTCTACTTAATGTATGAGAAGTCTAAAAAATAAAGGTTTACAGAGCAGTGGCTGAACGTACTCGTGTAAATATGTGACGTATTGGTTTTTCATTGAACCCAGCTGATAACATTAGTGACTCTGGGTTTACCTTCCAAACTACGTACATCATTATTTAACTGGATTTAGCTCCCCGGTGGCTCAGCGGTAAGTCTGAGGGCGTATAAGACTAAACATCAGGTTTCGATAATCGAGGTGTAAAAAACACAGATAGCCCCTTGTGTGTCTTTGTGTTTAGCATTGGATTTTGTTTTCTACATAAGTCTGTTTGTATTATCTTGTTACCCATCAAGATTTGAATAAAAGCACCCAAGTATTTCTGTACCGCATAACAGCTCAAAAAATATATAATAATGCGTCGATCAAGTATCAAAAGTTTAGTATACGAGCGTAAAGGAAGGTGAAACCTCGTAGTTGTCCAGGGTTACTGATGTGGGGTGGAATTTCCCCAAACTGGTATAACTGAGTGACAAGTGGTGAATCAAATGATAGATTGGGCCTTAGAATGATTTTTGTAAAAGTTAGGTTTTTCCCAAAATGTTTGTTATACAAAATACAGCAGAGAGAAGTCTATGGAACTCAAGGTTTCTTAATTAATTATTTATTTATAATATCTCTATTATTCGTTCATAGGAAGGATAATAATAATAATGACTTTACTTTCAACGAATCTTTTCATTACACAGTATTACATTTTTGCCACAACTCCCCAATACAATTTTACGTATTTCTCGACATAATATGCTTATGTTTATATGCCCCATCTTATTACAAGTTACATATTCCCTATTTGATATGAGGTAATTTTTGAAAGTTTAAAATTTGATTTAAGTTGCTCAAATGCTATATCAAATATTTCCAAATAAATTTTACTTTTATTGTAAAACTTCTATGAATGAATTTAGAGAAAGAGACGTAAGGGTATTGATGTGACTGTGAACAAATTAATTAATATTGAAAAAAAAACATAATCAAGGTTTAGTTGACAAGTATAGATTGTAATTTTATTTAAACTCAATGAAACAAATATTTGATCTAACACTTGAACCAACATATTTGGAAGTAGTACTCAGCCACCAGTGTTAAAGAACTCTTTTTAACTGTTTTAAGTTTAATTCATCATTTTTCTATGACAGATATGATAGCTCTTCCTGACTTCAACGGTGCTATGGAGAATTGGGGATTAATAACTTTCAATGAGAAGTACCTGCTGTATCGCCCCCAAGAGAGCTCTTCATATGACCAGTCACGAATTGTGACATTTATCGCACATGAATTAGCACACATGGTAGGCCCTAACATATGTTTTCATTAATTAAGCACTGAAGGAACACAACTGGTATATATGGTTGATTCTTTCCTATCCTTTCACCAAATTCTATCTTTCTACAAGAGCTTTGGGTTATAATCATTAGCACCCCCCACCCCCCAGTGGCACAGCGGTATGTCTGCGGACTTACAATGCTAGAATCCGGGTTTCGATATCCGTGGTGGGCAGAGCACAGATAGCCCATTTTGTAGCTTTGTGCTAAACAAACAACCATTAGTAAGTGCGGAACGTGATTTGTAATGGGATTTTTCTGACAACTATTGTCGGCAGGGATATCTGATATTAAAGCACAATGTACGGTTTATAATGGGATTGTTTTAATAACTGCTGTTTTCTTCGCTAAATGTATTTGATAGGGATTTCTGAAGTTAAAACAGGAATAATGGTTCTTAATTTGTATTTTCAGTAGAGTATTATAATAGAAGTATCCATTGTCAGGAATATCCAGCAATAAGGGTAGTACTAGTTGTATCTAGCCGAAATGTGCAATAAGAGGTATATGTGTTTAAAACTCTCATTGATCTTTTCTTTTTCGTGAACCTAAAAAACAAGTTTTCGAAGTTTTTAGTTTCCTTTTTGAAGCCACGTTATGGATCCATAGTTTTGAAGAAAACGTTTATAGTGTTTATCTGAAGTAATTCTTTGAGTTCTGATACTCCTCAGAGAGGATATATCAAGAATGATGATCAGTTTTACTGGGCAGTGAATCCGGTCTCAAATGTCATTGTTGAAGTGATTAGGTGATGGCGTATGGTTATGATGACTTTCTCAGTCTTTGTTGAGCAAATATTGCGTTTGGCTAGTACTGTCATACCTATGTTTTGTACATAGAAATTTATCATCTGTTAGTTGCTGTGTTTTTCATTTATTACTTTAAGCTATAATTTTACGTTTTTGCCTTTATCAAGTTGCACCATGTGCCTTTTTGTTGTCAGTTAAGCTATTTACAACCAGTTTTCTTTACCCCACTTTTTGTGACAGACAGTTCCTTAATGCTTAACACTTGTGTATTAAAAGTTATATGGATAATATCCTAACTGATGGGTCATAGAACTTTGCAATTGAAGCTCTTTTAATAATTTATATTTCCTGTTTTATCATAAAATAAAAGGTGTGCGATCTAAGCTAAAGATATAATAAACTTTACACAGCTGTATTTATCCATCTTTAATGTCTGTTTCTCTTTCACTGTTTATCCATCTTACTACTTCTGTTTGTCTGATTGTAACCGTTTCTCTCCCTCTTTCTTGATTTTGTGACTATCTTTGATTGTCTATGTCTATTTCAGACTATTGTATAGATATATAGATATTCTTATTCAGTGATATCTATATTTGTCTATACTTACATTAGATGTCTTTGTATAACAAAAGTTGTATAATCTGTTCAGCAACAATAACATAAACATTTATAAAACTACATTTTTTTCAGTGGTTTGGTAACCTGGTAACTATGGAATGGTGGACAGACCTGTGGTTAAATGAGGGATTTGCTAGTTATATTGAATACAAAGGAACTGATATTGCCAGGCCCAGCTGGGATATTGTAAGTCTGTACATCATGTGTCTTTTATATTAATTCTGTAAAACACTCCTGTACATCATGTGCCTTTCATACCAGCTCTACAAAACACTTGTACATCATGTGCCTTTCATACCAGCTCTGTAAAACACTCCTGTACATCATATACATTTCATTCCAGCTCTGTAAATCATTTCTGTACATCATGTGCATTTCATACCAGTTCTTTAAAGTTCTTCTACATCGTGTGCCTTTCATACTAGCTCTGTTAACCACTCTTGTACATCATAGTTTTAACCATTGATTAGAGAAAAAAAAAAGAACTGACGTTTTATTATATAAATAATGGTTTATCTTGAACATGTATTCACTAATAGATAAAATTGTTTGTTAAATTAAGCAGAATATGCAGCGGTTTTTGGTTTTTAAAGAAACTTTCATATGAGGTAAGTATTATGGAGTTATTTTGACAATCACAATAATATATAATATATTAAGGGCTAATATTTTCCAAACTTTATCATGTTTTTCACCCATCTTGGTTTTCAATGTTCACATGAAATTGGATGTTAGTCCGTTTTTATTAACAATTTTAAAATTCTGGATATGCATGTATGTATTCCCTAAAAGCTTTATTATAAGCAAATATTTTAATACTTATTAATATATATCCAAATCTGTAGGAGGATCAATTTTTGTTAGAAGATATTCATCGAATATTGGAATCTGACGCAACCATTACTTCTCACCCTGTTGTCCAAACTGTGAACCACCCTGACGAGATATCGGAGCTCTTTGATGCTATCTCCTACAGTAAGGTAAAACAAAAAAATAATGTTGATAGTTAAATGTATAACTTTAAAGGTTTACATGAATTTTTGTTATAAACATGACTAAATGATAGTAAGAATACAGGCTTAATGTATAAATATGTTTAATTCTCATTTAAATAATCTATGCCTTCAATTGAATTCAGTATTCTATTATAACCTATTCACGTTATTGTAGTTTAAAATAATCACCCCTAAATTAAAAACAAAATTTTAGATAAATATAGAGACATGAATTATATAGCGAAGGTTGGTTGGTTCTTTAAGTATGCATCACCACAAACTGTTGACTGGTTTCTGAAATTATACACTATTTATATCTAAAATATGTATAGATGATGAAATTTACAAGATATATTTCAAATGTTAACCCATGTTAAATACTTTAACAAGAAAACAGACAGTATTGATAGCATTCAAGTTTGTATGTATGTTTAGGCTTAAGAATTTCGAAAATTTTGTCAGCGAAAGTTAATCTAGTTATTTCTCGCTGTTTTGTAGGGTGCAGTAGTGCTTCGAATGTTAGAATTTTTCATGGGATCAGAAGATTTTAAGAAAGGTGTCTCGGTAAGTGACATATAACTTTTTGTTAGACTACTTTGTCGGATAGATATTCTTTCAAGTCAACATATAATATAGAAAACTCAAGCCAAGACTTACTTAGCAGATATTTTAACTGTTAACTTATCATCAGTGGCAAAGTCAGAGAACATGCAATTTGAATAAAGCTTTCCATTTTTCTTGCTCTTTCCACTACATTACAAAAATATAAAGAATAATGTATTCACCGAGCATGTTAAAACTTCATGAAATACCTAAAAAGGAATGAAACTGACCTTAGCTATACTGTAATTTTTTTGCATTGATTCTTGCAGGCTTACCTCCTTAAACATAAACTAGGAAACGCGGAGACGGAGGACCTATGGACAGAATTATCGATGGCATCTTCGAAGGTTTGTAATCTATATTATAATACGAAAATGATCCAATATTTGAATAGACATTATAATGCAATGTTGACTGGTTTTACTGGTTACTAAAATTTATGCATTATATTGGTGGAAAATATACAATATGCTAGATTTAGCTTTGTTTAAACATTGTTGTTTGTTTGAGGTCCATGGAGAAGGCAACATGGCTATCTGCACCAAACAACCGTAAAAAACTAAAAAATAAGTAAAATACTATAAAAAGAAAATAAGCTAAAACTAAACAATACACATAAATCAGGTGGAAAAGAAAATACAATGAAAGAGGCCAACGGCCCCGTAAAAAACTTAAAACACGATCAATCTCGACAATGTCACCGCCACCAATGACACAGTCCAACATCAGGGGTAAAACGCGTGATAAAATATAATAAAAATATCGCCGCTGCTCAATGTCGAAGCCACGGCACGAAAGTAAAATGTGGGCAATTGAGACCTCAGTGTCACAAAAGCCACACATTGGTGGATCAGTCCCACTTAAAAGAAAATAATGAATAAAAAACTGTGACCAATGCATAGCCTATACAAGAAACAATGTCCACAACACGTGTTGAAAACGTCCAACACTGACACTTAGTTGACCTAAGCCTCACAGGACCAGCCGATTGTGACACTGGGGGTGGGGGGTGGGGCAGGTAACATGATAATAAAAAACAATACATACAATACAGAGTAAATTTCCTTTCTCGTTATGAGTTATACAATTGTCCCACTGGTGTAAAAGTTAAAATGGAACAAGTTGATGATGTGGAATTTACACAATTAATTGCGTCTCTCTGGTCTAGTTTATTTTGGTCAAATATTTAGAATTAATAAACATAAAAATATGGTTGACACATTTAATGAATCAGCTTTAGCAGAAAATGTGGCAAGCACATCTCACGTATAAACTGAAGAAATGTTAAATAGATGAGTCAGGTTGAGTTTAAGTGGAAAATAAATATTTAAGAATCGGTTGATATTAAGAAAAACAAAAATATCATACTTGATTAAAGATTTTAGTCCTGGTGTGGAACAAATGAAATACTGGAACTCTATTTTGTAAGCTCTTCGACGAGGTTTGGAGGAACTGTATTCATGGTCGAGATGGCGCTGAGGGTGTAATGTAGGTTTATGTAAGTTGAAGGTGATAAAAGACATTGCCTGATGATGAAGGGTTGAAGGGGAACGATTGTTTCCGAATCCCCCAGTTAGGAAGAGCCAGCAGCTTTCATGTTGTTCTCTTTTCCTTCAAACTAAATTCCTGCCATATTTAATTTAGTTTAGTTTTTTTTTTTTTTTTTGTCAGAGCTCTGTTGAAACATGTAAATTTTTTTTCGGGATGCACCCTGTTTTTAATGAAGCGAATTCTTTGGTCAACAATTCACGGTTATATGTTCGTTTTTAATAGCCTATCTCTACCTAAGTCTATTAATTTATTTAGGATATCTGATTCTTTTTTTCGCAATATTCGTAGATGGCGTAAATCGCATACCAGAAAGCCGTCAAAATATTTGTAAAAATAGTCATGTGTAAAGTCAAATAGGGAACTGTATGGTCACAGAGAATTCTAAGACTGCTGCGTAAATAAAGGTACAAACATGCATTTGTTAACACTAATATCGTGTATATAATGAACGATGTTTTACTTAGCTTCTCTCAAATCTAAATGCATAAGCTTGCTAACTAATATAATCTTTTCAGCAAGAAACCTATAATGCTGCGTTCTATTTGTTGTGACTTTAATATTATTATTGTGCCGAAAGGTCCGTATGTCCAGTAACTTTTATATGATTGTTTCTCTTACACCGCACGAGTTTCTTGTTTGTGTAACCAAGAAAGCCGACTTGTATGTGATAGCTTTGGCAGTTTGACGCTGTTTATTTTGACGAAATAAAATGTCTTCCAGCATACGCTCGCTGACGCACTATATTTACACGTGCATATAAAAAAAGTATTACTTGCTCATAAAGGAAATACGAAATCTCAGCATATGGGTTTAAGTGCAGATAACATATAGCTATAAAACTGGAGCATCTGACTTATCTGTGTCGAAAAGTTTGGCAAGGCCTTAAAGAAGGGCGTTCATCTTTTAGACTTTCATTTAAGTGTCTTCGTCCTCTGACATTCCCTAAAATAATTCAGGGTAATACTTTCCAGTTCTTTTATCTAGTGTTATTAGTTTCTCATATTTAATCCTCGAAACTTTGTGCAGTTGATTATGTAACCAAAATTAATAATATCCAACGTCGAGAATGAGAAATTCTATTTGTTATACTTTAATTTGACAACGCTGTTCACGTATTCTGTTTTTAGCACGATTAACCTTCTAAGAAATAATTTGTTGATCATCTCCATCTGCCTTAAACACTCGAAAATAACACAAACTCCAAAATTCAGCATTCTAGTTCATTTTCATCCTTCCTGAATACACCAAAACTCATTACTCTTACTTAAATAAATAATATATATATTTTTTATTTCGGCGCAGAGCTACATCATGGGCTATAATAGCCCTTCCCACCGAGGGAAAACCCTGGATTCCAGCGTTGCAAGACCGTAAAATTACCACTGACTACCAGGGAACTAGATAAACAAATGCCTTCAAAATGTCCTTACATTTCTTTGCCTGTGCCTCCCCGATTTCTCCAAACCACATCTCAAATCTTCCCAATCACACGAAAATGCTATATTGACTCGTATTTATAGCGGCTGAAGGCGATTTAATGTATTAATATTTGAGTATTCAGAAAATTTCAGACGGGTTTCGGAAACTTCAAGAAAACTAAATATAATTTTCTTTGACTCTTAATTCTCCAAAATTTGAGATAGTGTCCACTATTTAGCCTCCCCGAATACTCCAAATCCCATCTCAAACTTTTTGAATATACGAATATTAATACATTTACTCGCATTCAGCTTCTCCATACTTCAAAATTCATCCACCTCCAGTGTATGAAATGTCACTCCCTTGTCTGGAAAATTTTCTGTTACTTGAGTTCATACATTTTGTCATTTAGATATTGTTTATAGAAGTACTAAGTATATTATTTAAGAATGTTTGTTTTTAATTTATTTTGTATTATATTAGCAAACATCATCATATAGTCACAGTAAAAAAAATCGAATGTTAACTAAATAAATTAAATATATAATTCGTAAGTATTCATACTTTAAAAGAGTTATAAAAACTGTTTCTCACATAAATGGACGTCTTTTTTACCAACATCCTAGAATCTTGACATCTCTCAAATAATGAACACGTGGACTGAACAAATGGGATATCCTTACATCAATATCACAAGGGATAAGGCTAACCCACAAACGTTCCACGTTCAACAACAGCGATTTCTGATTAATCGTGAGAGCGCTGCCGCAGCTGATGATGATTCTCCTTTTGGGTAAGAAGAAACATCTTTAAATGATTTAACTAAAACTGCCATCACAATTATAGAAAACCAGACACGTTATATAAACTTAAAACCACTTGTTTTTGATGATTATTTTTTTTTCTCCTTCCAAAAGTGAAAGATAATTTAAGAGATCGAATATTTCGGAGTGCATAAAAAATATAGAGAAGTATTAAATGGCCGTGTTTCTTTCATTACGCTTTACTTCATGCCCTTCTGGGTAATTATATTTTTCATACAGTTATTGATTTTGTAATCACCGAACTTGGGGGTACATTGATTTTAAGCAGTTATGTCTCTTTATTATTAAAAAATAAAGTGACAGGACTTAAAAAGGTGACTCATTATTTCATTTACCATGTTTACGAAACACGGTAATTAAGATGACCCGTTCATTTTGGATTATGCAGTAAACATCACCCATCTGCGGTACATTGGAGACAAGATAGCTTATACAAATAGCGTGACGTCACGATAGTGATTGTTTTCCTACAAGTATTTTTGGGCCCTAATACACTAACATCCAATCAGTGCTTGTACCTAAATAGTATTTTTCTTTTTAAAGTTCAAAATAAACCTTCGGGAAGAATAGGCCTTTAAAGTTGTTATATTCTGTTGAGAACGTATGAGAAAATCAATGAATAATTTATCTTCTTGACTGCTTAAAAAATGCACAAATTTTAATTGTTAATCGTAAAACATATCTTGCATATTCGTTGTTTATCCTTATATTTGTTACACCGAAAGCATAAAATCTGTACTAACATTTCTTAAGCACCTAGGTGAACGCTAACTAGGACGAGATTCCTAAGCCTTAAGTAAAAAAGTTCAATTTTTTATGATACGATTCAATGTACAAAATATATAAATTAACGAAAAGAAACAAACGTATTAATTTCTTTTTGTTAAAATTAAAGTGAATTCATCTTATTTGCCAAAATATATGTAAATATGTTTAGCTTTTCTGTATTTACAAGCAGGAAAAAAAATCGTTTGTTTGTTTGTAATTAAGCACAAAGCTACACAATGGGCTATCTGTGCTCTGCCAACCATGGATTCTAGCGTTGAAAGTCCGCAGACATACCGCTGTGCCACTGGGGGGCCAAAAAAGTTCGTTGGATTACTTTCATCACTATTTGTATAAAGCAACTGTTTTTTTTTTCTCTCTCTTCTCATTTCATTTTATAGGTGTGATATAGATGTGTTGAAAAATCTTAAAATATTATAACTGCTTAAAATAAAAAAAAAAAGATTTAAATGCAGTTGAAATATTTGGCATTTACTCTTGAAACAAAATGGAGCCAGACGTGGCATAACAGTACTAGTGTTTGGCTGTTAATCTGGGGGTTCATGGTTCGCGACCAATTACTACAAAAACGTTTACATCCATTGACTGTGGATTTGCCGTAAAAGTGAAGATCAAACCTCACTATTCGATCAAACACGAGCAGCTCAAGAGATTAGAAACAGCTATGTGCAAATAATCCTTGTGTACCTGGTTGGTTGGAGTTTAGTAGCGCAAAGCAACGTGATTAATCTGCGCCAAACAACCGTTAAGAATAAAAAAAAGTGTAAAACTATAAAAAGTAAAAAGAAAACAAGCTAAAAGCTAGATAATGCCCAAAAATCAGGTAAAGAAAAAACTAAATAAATTATAAAATGCCAATGACCCATAAGAAAACCTAAAAACACAGTCATGCTGGATAGTGGCACCATTGCCAATGACACTGTCCAACGTCAGTGCTAAATTCTTGTGTAGCTTTGGGCAAAAATCCAAAAACAAATATCTAAAAATAAATTAAACCTTACTTAATTTATTTTATAGCGAAATACTCGTGATTACAGAAATAACTAGCAAAACAATAATAATTTTCATTATAGTTTTGACATGACGTTTAATTTTTCAGCTACGTCTGGGAGATACCATTAAGTTACCACACCAGTAAAAACAAAAACCCTCAAATATATTGGTTGCGTACGAATCAAGAGGGTAAGTAACACTGTAATGTTTTGTAAAGAAATTATTTAGCATTCTGTGTTGTATGTTTAATAAACTTAAGCTATTTAAAAAAATATAATGATTTCAATATATCACAAGCGCAAAAAAACATTGAAAATTTTTACTAAAATACAGTACTTTAAAACCTTTTTTTAAGAAAAATAAGATACACGACGGCTACAATAGAACAGAGCGAAAATTAAAAAAAAATTATATACTATGAAGAAGAGTACTATTGCTGTGAGAATAAAACCGGAAATATTTTGTTTATCATAACGCAGTATTGTTGGTAGATGTTCATTCTGTTATTTAAAATAAAGAGTTAAGATTCGTATCATTAATGTGTATTATTAGTCTGTAGAAGTATCTGAAAAATGAAACGAATATCTTATTAAACTGTTATTACTTGCCTTGTAGAAAAACTTGATATTGCCTTAGCCGATGGCGAAGAAGAATGGTTCAAATTCAATGTCAACCAGTTAGGATTTTACATGATAAACTACGAGGAAAATGACTGGCAGAAGATTACTGACCTATTAAAGAAGAATCATAAGGTGAGAAGTGTTCCAATCAGTTTAATCTTTAATAATAATATTTTCCTGTATTCAAGATAATGACAACTCAAAAATACTATCAATTAATTTTCTTTTTACGACTGATAATTTTTTAAGGTATGGAGTCCATCAAATCGTGCCAATGTCATCAGCGATTCGTTCTTCTTAGCACGTGCAGGATATTTGAAATATTCTGTTCCTCTTGAACTTTCCATGTACTTGAAAGATGAACGCCCACCTTGTGCCTTGGGAAACAACTAATATGGTTCTAAGTTACATAGGTAGACTACTGGAGAACAATGAATCAAAATTCTTGCTGAAGGTAATACCCCAATTTAAAAACACAACAATATTTAGTCAATATAATGTCCTAAACATGTTGAAACAAGCTATTTTAGAGTTTAACACATTACTTTTGTATTTTCTTCTTTATTTATTTTTATTTTTAATACTGGGGATCAGTAAATTCCATAAATCTGTTAAAAGTTTTATTTATTTAAGTAATTATTACGTGTAAAGTTTTCATCCTTAAATGAGGAGTATTTTAGCTTGTGCTATTAAAGATATGTTGAATAATATGTGCGATTGTACAATAAAACAGATATTGATAGTACAAGGTTTGTAATGTTTGTCCAAGATAAAATATTCAAAGATATAAACTGCACATGTCAGTCAAATAGATTGGACTTTAAATACTTTATGAAGCTCATGCTGATCAATGTTTAATGACTTAGCCTATAAAGAACATAACTTTTGTTGTTGGTGGTGGTGATTGGTCTTCTGGAAATACAAATATTGGAATTTCACCCAGTTTTCCTGGAGAATCTCTTTCATATTCCTGAGGACTTTCGAATTAAAAAAATCCTCTAATAATATTTCTTTTCACTCACGGTGATAGATTGCATTTTGCCTTTCATTCCTTCACAATCTAATATGAATAGCCCAAGAGTTTCCGGCAGGTGCTGTTGATTAGCTACCTGCCTTTTAATCTGTCAGTTATACTTTATGTTGAACTTTGCACGAAACTTCAGGAACGAACAACTTTTAAGCCTAAAATAATATATTTAAGTTCTGATCTGATTTACCAAAACCCCTCGTGAGCTTTGAAGCTTAGTTTTAAATTTTCATATTTTCACCTCTGGCTGTTAAAATAAACGTGGTATCATCTGTAAGACTTATCCGGTCTTTGAATATCATTGTGCATCCTCTATCGTACCTGGTCAGTAGATTTATTTTCATCTTGATCACTGAGTGACGCGATTCTTGCTTTCTTATGTTTCAGGCGAAATACTGACAGCTTGAGTGTCGTTCTCCGGCTAGTTCGTTTCCAAATGTCCTCCAGCAATTTCTGCAAAGTTTCAACACCAACAAATAGAAAACTATTAACATTTGCACCACAGTTTCCACAACAGTCGAGTTGCATAAATGTAACACTGATAAATATATATTTTTAGGAAAGAATATTTAACATACAAAATAATAATAAACCACCTGCTCAGTGGACGTAGAGATTTCTTCGTAACATTAATACTGAACATTAATATCTTCAAGAAAATTCCGAAACATACAACAGACAAGTTTATAATACTACACTACTCATAACATCTCAGAAAATACACTTTTCAACTTTTGGTGAATTTATACTGTTTAGCCATTTAAGGAAACAACAAGTATAATGACCAACGCTAGTATCGTATAGTGTATGATAGTATTAACACTTAGTTTATAAAGTAATGTTTGATTTCATTTATGACGAAGTGTGGTAAAAGCATACTCTAAAACAATATATATTCCCTAAAAAATACTGATTTGGCTTGAGAAAGTATGATTCGTTGGTTGGTGTTTTATGGCGCAAGGCATTAATGCTATCTGCTCCAAACAAACCAGTAAGAAGAGAAACTATATCAACAATAAAAAAAGAAACTTAAAACATAAATGTTAACAAAAATAAAAAAGATGAAAATGTACAATTGTTTTGCCGTGAAACAATACTAAAACATTAAATAAAGTAAAAAAGGCCTATAACCTGTAAAAACCAAAAACAAGATCAGTCTGGACATTGTCACCATCGCCAATGACACTGTCCAACGTCAAAGGCAGAGAAAGTATGAAACATTCTAAAAAATACCGTCAGGTGTAAGATGTGGACTCTCACTGGTAGCATTATTTTATTCTTTGATGCATATAATGAAATGGCTTTAAAAATATGTTTGAATAGATATTTACGGGTATGAAAATTATTTCTCGTGTTTGAATATTTTCTATGTGTTTGTATCATGAAAGTCCTAAAATATCGCTTTTAACAAATGATTTAACTGGCTTATCAGTGTTCCTTTCTTATGTTTTATAGAAGCACATAAAATCCTTAACAGCAAACGTCATAGCCGAACTTGGATGGAATGATAAAAACGATGATCACTTGGAAAAGTATGTTACACATTTTAATTACTTCTTTAAGATTAAACTTTTTTCTTCTAAGAAATAAACGTGCTCCGATATTTAGCTTACAGTGTTATTTATTGAACCTAAAGATTTTCTAGAAACTAGATATAGCCTGAAAAAAATTGCTGAAAAGGAAGCTAGATGCAGTGGAATCATTATTACTTGTGTAAATATATTAGTTTTAAAGAGAGATCGTTGTCTCTAAGAGAAGCACCAGGAAAGATTGTTATATAAACACAGCGAATTGAGCGTTGTTAACTTCATCTTGAGTTTTAACCCTGGGGTCCAGAGTTGATTGGATTTAAAAAGAATGAAACGATTTATGCCTCATACTGCTTGGGGGCCCCATGACTTTGATTACATGGTACCTAATAACACGCAAATCAAACAAAAATATTCCAGGAATATTACAATTAGCCCTAATAAGTATTGCTAGAATCCATGCATTTAACATGGAAAATGAGTAATTTTTACCAACGTATGCGTGTTTTTATCAGTTCTTTACATTGAGTTTTATGACAAGCAAAAGCGTAACATTTCTCAATTTGGTGTTGTAGCATATTGCACTGGTAGTGAATAATATAAAAACAAGTCCGTAATTTGTGTGTTGCTGGGAGAAAGTTGTTTGAAATTGTTTCGAGTTTAACATGAAAATAATAAGACATTAAGAATAACATTTCGTATTTTCTGTATGGTTTGTTTGTTTGAAATTATGCACAAAGCTACACAATGAGCTATCTGTGCTCTGCCCACCACGGGTATCGAAACCCGGTTTCTAGCGTTGTAAGTCCGCAGACATGCCGTTGTGCCACTGAGGGGATTTCTGTATGGAACCACAAGCGTGTAAACTAAAATTAATTCACTACTATTATTGGTGTTGAAATCTCATACGCTTTTATTAGAAACATGAAAATTTTAGGTGATTAATTTTGTTCCCAGACCCGGCATGGCCAGGTGGTTAGGGCGCTTAACTCGTAATCTGGGGTTTTGGGTTCGAATCCCAGTCCCACCTAACATTTTCGCCTTTTCAGCCGTGGGGGCGTTATAATGTTGCTGTCAATCCCACTATTTGTTGGTAAAAGAGTTGGCGGTGTGTGTGTGTGCCTTCCCTCTAGTCTTTCACTGCTAAATTAAGGACGGCTAGCGCAGGTAGCCTTCGTGTAGCTTTGCTCGAAATTCAAAACAAACAAACAAGTATCGAGCTTTCATGTAACATTACACTAAAACAATACTGACAATTTTTAACAAATATTTCATTAATGGCTGCATGGCTTTATCATCCATGATGACGTGATGTAATGTATGGCACCGGCATAAAGTTGTACAAATCATAATAACTGATGTCTTATTGTATTGCATGCTCAACCAATCTGACGAGTTTTGGTATTAAGCGAAAGGGTTCGTCGATAGCAGCGTAATACTCACAAGATGTACGGTCGAGGTGTTAAGTTTTATGTACTGAAATCCACCTGTCTTTCTATTCAAATGTCTTTAATGTAAGTTAAAGTTAGATTGAATATAATTTCTTCACTATACATTTATTTAAAACATTAAATAAGCATACAAGTTTCAAATCTAAACTGTAGCCAGTAATCAACACGAAAAAAAAAGTAATAAAAAAATTGTGTCATCTACAACATACAGTGTAGTTCAAATGTTATTCACTTTTTTGCTTATTTGATTGGAGTTTATTGGCGCAAGGCAACGTGACTATCTGCGCCAAACAATCGTTGAAGAGGCAAAAATAAGTAAAACACTATAAAAAGTAAAAGCTAAACAGTGCCCATAAATCAGGTGAAAAATTAAATAAAATTAAAGAGGCCATTATAAAGCTAAAAACACGATCAATCCGGACAGTGTCACCATCGCCAATGACATTGTTCAAAGTCAAAGGCAAACCCCGAGGAAAGCAATGTTTAAAATGTTTACGATACTCTTAAAATTGTTTTGTTCCCCGGTGGGTCAGCGGTAAGTTTACTGACTTGCAACACCAAGATACGGGATTCGATTCTACGCGGTAAAGAGAGCGCAGTTAATCTATTGTGAAGCTTTGCATAAACAAAACACCGGCTTATAAATTTTCAATTACTGGTTTAAGATCCTTGCTTATCAGCTGATTGAGGTGTAAGACCAAAGTATTAACATGCTTTAATGTATTCTTAAAAACAGAAGCTCGAATTTCACAAGGTAAGAAGGAAGAGCTTAGTCTCATTTTTGGTGCGTTTTTACAATCTACCTCCCCCCCCTTGAAAAATCTAAGATGGATCATGTTTTGTAAGCTACGGAGTTATGCCAATACAACGTAAAAAGAAATCGCTTTATAAATCAGCTTGGATGTAATATATAATTTCAAATTTCGAACTATCATTTTTAAGATTTATAAGTAGATTAAAGTTAGACGATACTCACAGGACGTTACGTTGAGGTTTGCTCATTTTCTGTTTTTGCCAGTAATGTGTGCAAGTAAATCTGTCTTTGAACCACTGTATTCATAGCAACCTTTATCATCGATAGGTCTATCAAATAAAAATGTTTGTAATTTGTATTTCCATGCATAAATTTTTCACAGTGTATGAGAAATGTTTCTATGTGATGGTAATTGTCATTTCAGGTAACGTTATCTTTATTGCTTTGTTTCAGACATACATTCAGAAACGATAAAGAATATTAGCAACGCCATCGTTTCATATATGAACATTAGTAATTGCAACAAAATCTTTCCAACGTATTTCTAGTTAAGTAGTCTAACAGAGGATTGGAGTAAAAATAAGCAATAATAACCTAACAGGAAAACTGAAACTTATCCTAATGATTCTTATGACAAATGCCCAATTACTTTTATTACAGACGGACAAGAGTAACCGTTTTGAATTTAGCATGCGGAGGAGAAGACGAAGAATGCCTCAATAATGCAACCGAATTGTTGAAACAATGGAAAGAGGGGAAGAAGTAAGCATGACGATTTTTTAAGGTATCATTAGAACCATGAGGTAGATTTCTCTTTCCTGGACAGTTGAAATCCGTTAGAAGTATAAGATACACTTTTTGATATTTACAGTTAATTAAGTTTGTTAGCCCTAAAGAATACGACATTCTAATATTTTTTTCTTCAATAGCTTCATAAACAGCCCCAGTGAGTGGTGTAAACTATCAACATAGCTGGACTGAAACGTTATTGGACGAAAATTTAGCCCTTAGCTAGTCATAATATCAATTTTGTTACTAATGCAAATGTAAATTCATAATTGTTATAGGACAACTCACTTTCAATACGACTAATTTCCTTTTTGTTTTCATGTTTAAAATAGTTTTTTCACGCTGTTTTACTACCGTTGTATATTTTAGTTTCAAACTATTTTTTGTCATATTTTTTGTTTGTATAGGGGTGAGCTGATATATATTTTTTTTTAATATACGAACACAGTTTAATGTATATATAATGTATTTCAATTAAAGGGACAGTCTGAGAGGTACATATGATCAGTATATTTAATGTATTTATCCTACGCAATAATACAAGTACTACTAAATACGTCATTCTGATTTGGACACCTGATAACTGTTATCACTACATTCTGATCTGGACACCTGATATGTCATAGCTACAGTTGTAGTTAGAATTACAAGATGTACCTATTCGACCTGAATGGTTGAAATCCGTTAGAACTATATATAGGATACACTTTTCTGATCTGGACAATCAAGGTTTGGGATACATGTTTCTAACTTTTACCCTAGAGGTTTGTGAGAACGACATAATAAACCCAACTGGCGTTGATATTGAAACGTTAGAAATATAAACTACACGTCTTCCCGTCTTAAGTTCGTTACTGCATACACGTAGTAGACTATTCGATGTTTTGATGAAGGTAGGTTTTTTTTTTTTTATGGAGATTCTTTTTATTTTGCGTAGTTTTTTAAGTTTACTGTTTAGCTTTTGTGTTTAAGAAAAACATATTTACTGTTAAACCCTTAGAGTTACATATGGATCTCATCGGCTTCTTGAGACACATTTTCAGAAAGTGTACGTGAGCCACATTACTTATGGGTTTATGAAATTCTTCATTGTAGGCCTCTATAAGACATACGAATGACACAAAAACTCAAACAAAAATCAATATTGAAATTAAACCCATCAACGACTGCTAAAGTCTTGTGTATTTTGCATAGAAAATGAGCGAGTTAGCCCAAATTATGTTATCAATTCATTACACTGCGTTTTGGAACAGTGAAAAAACAACATTATTAAGAATGTTGCAGTACATGGATCTCATTGGTAGTGAATGACATGTACAGAAATGGATAATTTGAGGGTTTGATACTCTGTTTGTATCTGGAAGTGTTTATACATGAGCGTATATATCGCTGCACGTACATCGTCCGTACAACTTCCAAACACGTGTTTGTTTACTAAATTTGTTTTATATTAAACTGTATTCAAAATTGTGTAATTTGTAAGACGTTAGAAGAAGTAATGATAAGCACAAGGAGGGGGGAGCTTCCCCCTGATTTCTTCAGTGGTAGTCATGGAATTGAACTATGTCCAATGAGCGTTGGATAGCCTCAGTCTAATTATATTTACAACACACACACACACAACGGATTGTTAATATAATTGGAAGGGAAATATAAACGCGACATCAACGTTTTGATCGTTGTTTTAACTGTGTGTGTTTACTGGTGCTGCCTGTTCACTATTCACCGTTATGTTATTTGCCTCTTGTTTTGTAGTGTAATATTCCCGATTTTCTCTGGTTAACAATATTATAAAAGACAATCGATATTCATTTAAGTAATAAGCTTACCGATTTGAATTCAGACAGTAATCCTGGTTTTGTGTTTAATCTTTATTGTACAAAAGATTGAGTCAGTGAAGAAAACCGATTGATCTTAGTTTTATTGTGATGTTTTGCCTGTTATCAACTAATTGTTTATATTTCTCCAACTTAAATATTATAGGCTCTCAGGTAACAACAACAAAAAACAACGTTAAACAGTGGTTCACATTTTGTATGTTTATGATTAAACATCTAATATTCATGAATACCTATTTTCGTTCTTGCAGTATTTCTCCAGATTTGAGAAGTATCGTGTATCGGTATGGGATAAGCCACAATAACTCTGAAGAACTCTGGAACTACATGTGGAAACGATACTTGAAAGAACAGTCGTCGCACGAACAGATGCGGATCCTTCACGCCCTATCTTGCACGAAAAACGAAAATATTCTTCTAAAGTAAGCTAAATCAGATTAACTTTTTCCACTTGTATACAATCACGTTTGTTACCAAGGCAAATATAAATTCATAACTGCTGTAAAACAGTCGTAAGCTTACAGTTGTTGCAATTAAACATTTTTAACTGAATAGTCTATATTTCTATATCTTCTTCTTTTAGGACTCGATAAGCTTTTACACAAATTAAGTTTTTTCCAAACTTGTAACATACAGCGTAAACATTTAGTTTTACAGTTCACACTATCCAAAGAAATAATTATGAAATTAGGTCTTAAACAGAATAAAAATAACAATAGTTAACAATCCTACCTTATTTGTAATAAGAATAAAGACTAAGTTATGTGATATAATGTTGTGCCTGTGGAACTTAAGGCAGAGTAGACGTTAGGTTTGAGAACTTTAATGGACCGCAACTGCCTGTTGAATGAATAGAAGACGACGTTTCGGTTTCTATACCGAGGCCATTTTATTCAATGGAGAATCACAGTTCACTAAGTTTGTTAAGTTAACCGTCTGATATACTTGTACAATTTCTAATGTAAGTTTAATAAGTAAAAAAATGCTACTTGTAGTATCTTTTCCCTTTTTTTTGTATATTGCTTTCATAACAACTATTGTACTAAAAGAAATCTGTTTGCACTACCATAGCAACTGCTGTTAGACAAGCTTCCATCTTTACAGCGTAATAGTAGCTATTGTCATTCTGAGAAAGAGAATGTTTCAGGGTCCTGCTTTTATAACATTTACACATCTCCGCTACTATAAAATTCAGTATTGGAAATGTTTACTATATGCAAAATGCAAATATTATGGAACTACCCACCACCCTTTCCCACCGTTGGTTGGATGCTGCATGTTTTATAGCGCAAAGTACCAGAGCTATCTGCACCAAACAACCGGTATTAAAACCGAAGTACCAGAGCTATCTGCACCAAACAACCGGTATTAAAACCGAAGTACCAGAGCTATCTGCACCAAACAACCGGTATTAA